GGGGGGGATGGCGAGGGCACGCTGCGCAGTAGCGGGGGGGGGATCAAACGCAGGGGAAGGGGCGACGACGATGTCGTCGGGGAGGGGGACGACGACGAGGCATTGCTGAACAGGCTGCGTCAGCGGAATACGCGAGAAGGAATGGAGGCGGTGGCGAAGCTATGGGTGGATGACCTCCGCTTCTGGAACGAAAGGGAGGGATTTGCCATCGTGAAGTTGATCGTGGAGGCGCGCGGGTATCTTGTGGTGGTGGTGCGGGGAGAGCAGCCTCCGCCCATTCGTCGCAGCATCGTCTTTCCTCACAACAACATCCCGCAGCAGAAGATCCCGGACGAGTCGGAGTTCAACGTTGCGAAGGAGAGGGTGGTGAAGGTGCAGGGGATCGCTTTGCGGGTGATACACGGGTGGGTCTTCAAGTCTCAGAACAAGCAACGGGGGTACCACGCGGCGTACCAGTACGCATTGAACCACGTGGCCACCGACATCGCTCGCGCTATGTGGATGGGGGAGGACTGGCGTAATTGTGTGAGCCCCATGGTCGTCCTCTACACGCTCGACATGGATATGAAGCTGCCATTGTGGTTCGTGGGCGCCGACGTCGAAGACAGGCACGAGGACGACGGCTTGGCGGCTTATCAGGAGTCGAGCATCCAGCGACTGGTGGGGGCTTTCACGAGCGCCGTGATCATTGCGGAGGCGACGGACGGCGGTCGGGTATCGCACGAAAGGTTGAAGACCATGGCCGACGCGATGTGGATGATGCTCACGGCAACCATGTGGCTCGTGCGGATGGCGGGTGACGATCATCGCGCGCATTAGGAAGCCTGGGTTTTTGTCCAACTCACGGCGAAGCCGACCCTCGTCGCATCCATGCATCGCTGCTTCGACGCGCGTCGGCACATCGTGCAAGCTGCGACCGTCATCACCAACAAGTTGGCGAGTCCCCCCATCACTTTGATCGACCCTCCAATGTATGTTCCCGACTGGGCGTCCATCGGTGTCAAGTTCTCACACGACGCCATATTGTCTTCCCCGATGGAGGCGAAGAAGCTGGATTGGCTGGGCACAGGCCCCCCGGAAGACAAAGACGGCTGGAAAGGCGACGAAGAGGGAAGCGGGGGGGGTTGATGACGCGTTAATGATGCCCGTCTTCGACGCCGCCATCGTAGGATGGGGTAGGGTGACAGCCGTTGCTTCGGCCAGCGGATGACGTCGGATGGTGGAGCGGCGGGAGGGGATCGTCGTGCATGTGCGTTTTCGTCGTTTCTGTTATTTTTCCTCACACGCTGCTGCTCTGCCGTCACTTGTTCGAAGACGGCAGACCCATCGTCATCACCTTCTGTACATACATCATGGGTAGCAGTCCGATTTCGTAGCCACCGCCGTGCGGTCACGAACAAGTGGGATGGTGGTGGGTATGGCGTGAAGGGAGGTTCTCGTCGAGGAGTTTTCGGTGGTGAAGATGGGAGCTGTCTCTTATACACATCTAGATGTGTATAAGAGACAGGCATTGGACTGTGCCGTTGCCATAAACCCCACCCGGCGACACCTCCTAAGTGCGGCACAATGCGAAAGTACACCAAACTAAAGTGCGGCAGACAAGCCGCCGCATGCACGCCAATGCCCACCGATACAGGCAGCGGTCGAGTAACTCCGTGCTCCCACGAATTTGTGAGCGACAAGGAGAACGACGCCAACACAAACCACCATCCGCACGCTTTCTCGCCGCACCGACACCATCGCAGCCCGTCGGTTCTACTCTCTCTCTCTCTCTCTCTCTCTCTCTCTCTCTCTCCTGTCTCTTATACACATCTAGATGTGTATAAGAGACAGTCGTGGGGGTGTGTAATTATCCTTTGTTTTTTTTATGTTTTTTCTTATTTTATTTTTTTGGATCCTCACAAATCGATGTTCGCATCTGTAACAACGAACATGTGACACCTGTCATTGGTATTGATGATGTGATCAGCGCCCGTGTGGCTTCTTGTGTTCATTGGTATTGAAGACGTCCACACGTCGTTGTCGCTTCTTGTGTTCATTGGTATTGATGATGTCTACACGTCGTTGTCGTTTCTTGTGTCGTTCGTTAATGATGATGTCTACAGCTTCTTGTCAACTCCTTTGTGTTCCGTTTTCATTTGCATTCACGATTGTCAGGGCAATAATGACATGGAAAGTGGTGATGGATGTATGATTCAACCGATGCTTTATCACAGATTGACGGATTTTCATACAAGCCATTCGAAATGCGAGCACAGATGAAGGGAATAAAACTGACACACACACAACGTCTTCCAAACAAAGTACTTGTCATTCGTCAGGAACACGGAGAACAACCTCCAGGACTTAAAAAAGAGTACAAGATATGTTGTCTGAATGCTGTCACTCGCGACAACAGCACAACACGTCACAGTTAGGATGAAACAGGCCTTCAAGGCAACTTCGATCCCAACCAGCCGAAAAAAGAACACCCCCCCCCGGAAATGGACTCCGTCACTCACACCTGTCACTCACGGTGGCACCACACTAGAAATCATCGCAAAGACAGACAACTACACGCGCGTGACGAAACCCCCGCCGACGACGCGTTGGACTGTGCCATCGCCATAAACCCCACCCGGCGACAACCTCCTAAGTGCGGCACAATGCGAAAGTACACCAAACTAAAGTGCGGCAGACAAGCCGCCGCATGCACGCCAATGCCCACCGATACAGGCAGCGGTCGAGTAACTCCGTGCTCCCACGAATTTGTGAGCGACAAGGAGAACGACGCCAACACAAACCACCATCCGCACGCTTTCTCGCCGCACCGACACCATCGCAGCCCGTCGGTTCTACTCTCTCTCTCTCTCTCTCTCTCTCTCTCTCTCTCTCTGTGGCTGCATGCCGCCCGCTCCCAACGACTGGTCGTCTTCACTGCATACCCATTCGCTCCACCAGTGCATCCCGCAGGATCAGCGCATCCCCTTTCGACGACTCCATGCACATCTGCCTCAACGGGCGGTGCATCCCAAGGTCCACCCTGCAACGAACATCGTCCGGCCCGACCTCCCATAGTCGATTGTCGTCGAACGGGATGCCCTCGTCGATGAGTATGTTGTGCAGAATGCAGACGGCGACGAGTTGCTGCGGCAACGTCTCCATGTTCGTCTTGTGGGAGCGAAGGAACAACCTCCACATCCCCTTCAATCTGCCGAAAGCCCTCTCGACTGCTCCCCTCGTCGTCTTCTGCTTGTTGTCGAATCGCACCTCCGACGGGTGCTGTGATAGAGCACCGTAGGGGACGACTACCCATTCGGAGAGGGGGTAACCGTTGTCGCCCAGCAGATACCCGTTCGTCCGCACACCGAAAGGCAGCATGACAGGTGGCCCAGTGAAAAGCTCCCTCGCCTCCGCGCGCGCCCATAAACTGGAGAGGTGGATGATCCTCACGTCGTGGCAACGCCCCAGATATCCGACGAACACATCCAGCACGCACAAGTTGAGATCGACGACCACCTGAGCCTGGATGAAGAAACGACGTTTTTTGTCGTAGAAGTCCTCCCCGGGGCAATTGGTTGGCTTGTCGATGAAGATGTGGGTACAATCGATGCAGCCATGGCAGTTGGGGAAACCCTTGTCAGCGAAAGCGCGCAAGACGACCGCCTTTTGCAGCCCCGTTGGCCACGATATCTTGTCGGGGTACGCACTCAGCAACGCCGAAGTTACATCCCGCACAGCCACCAACCCAGACTTTCTGCCACTGCCGAAGTTGCATGTCCCGCACTCGTACATCTCCCCCGACGCCCATCTGTATAAAGCGTATGCTACAATGAGGTCAGGCGGGAGGGGCTCCCTATAAAAAGTGACACGCCGTTGAAGGAAGGGAGACAGAGCTTCCGCTATCTCCCGGAACACCCGTGGCGACATGCGCAGCTTCTACTTGAAGTAGTCTTTCGTCCCGTCGTCCCATTGCCGCAGATCCTCCCACACCCCCCCTGTTCGTCGCTTCATCCACCACCTGGGCGTCGCTCTGGGAAATGCTCCACACCCCATGGCGTAGCACACCTGCAGGACGGCGTCGCAAATGGCACCACTGCCCTCTTCGTCCACATGCATGGACTGCAGCGTCTTCTTCCGGCGTGCGCGAATGGCCACTCTCATCCTCCCCTCGGTCCTCTGCAATTGACACCTGATGAGGATCAGGTTCACGGCCGCTGCCACAGCCGCCCTCTCCGCCTTGCTGAGTGTGTCATGGACCGCTTCCCCGTTCACGTCCATCGCTCATTGTCACCAAGTGAAGAAGGCTCGACTTCAGTGGGAACAACAGCGATGCTGAGTCGTCACAACCGGAGTGGACGGCGTACACGTCGACGACGAAGGTGCGTGTAGCGAAGTAGACAATGGTGGCGATGGTGTGACGGCGTGCCTGCTGCTTCGGACGTATTCATGGACGTTCGGCGTGCCAGCAGAAGCCACGGAGCCGCCACCCCGTATGCTGTCAGCCGTAAGGGACACCCACGCCGCCATCATTCGCTTACGGGAATTCGAATTTCGAAATTCGAATCCGGGACCGCGCGCCGTTTTCGTAGCCTTTTGTTTGTTCCGCCGCCTACTTTCGAATTCGCGCCGCCCACAGCACCTGGACCAAGGACGACGCCACGGACACAACTCGCTGGACCAACCTCGCCCCCCCCCCGCCCCCCACTGTCCGCGTATCGAAATATCTAACTGGCCGCGGGAGCACCCGAGGAATCGTCCTCGGGGAACATTTCCGAGGATGAGTGGAACGAAGGCGGGACAAGTGGGTCCTTGGCGACTCTGGTAGCCTAGCCCAGGACATTCGAATTGTTCAATCAAACATAATGTATCTGGTTCATATAAGATTCCAGAGATGTGTCAAATGCTCAGTCCTATTGTGAGGACTCAGTAGAGTCGAAAGGTCTAAGTGAGGACTTAGGGGCTCGTTAGACACTCCTTGTGGCGTCCTCGGGGCTGAAGGAAGTTTCCTTCAGGGTTTTGAAGGAAATTCCCGCCGTCGTTCCACCTATCCGTTGGATGGTCTCCCGAGGATGATTCCTTTTGCCCCCCCGCGGCCATTTCATAGTATTATAGTCGGCCGCGGGGGGGGGGCAATGCCTTGGTCCATTGGGTGATGTCCGACTCGCGACGGTGTGGGCCAGCTGCGACGTGGAAAAAAAAAAACTTAAAAAGCAATGAACCTCCCTGTTCGAAAATCAAATTTTGAATTGGGTGTTGGATGTGACGACGACGCGGGGCAGGTGACATCCATACTGGCGACAATGGAAACGGGCATTTGCACCGGCGCAGTCGAGTCGTCATAAGTCGTCACAAATTTGTGAGCACCCCGCGAAGGTCCATTGCCATCGCCTCCTCCTGCCGCCACGCGTATGTGTGGAGTCGAGCACACGTCGGCGACTTGGCGCAGAAGTCACCATGGTCGTCGCGAGTTTGTAGGCTGTTGTATTTTTGTAGCACACGTCGGGACCTTGAGCATTGCAACACGCATGCCGATGGAAGGTGGCATCGACAATGGACTTGCGAAGTTGACGACGTCCGAGAAGAGGGTCGTGGTGGTGGCCGTGACAGCCGTGCTCTTTTGTTGTCAGTAGGAGAGGGCATTGGGAAGAATGAGAGCACAGATCCGTGAGAGGAGGAGGAAGACGCTTCATCAAGTCTGAGTCGAAGGGCTGGATACTGTGGCCATCACCAAGGCTGTACTTCATGTTTGTTGTGCAATGGGTTCCAGTGTTCTTCCACGAGCGACATCGGCCGCTGCAATGCCGGACTTCACGGATGACGGTCGTCTGATTGCAAGAAATTAGGGGGGCAAAAGACCGTGACAACAACGTTCCACGAGTGCAGCCTTCGACGGTGACAGGCGACAGGCGATAGCGATGGTG